CTTGGATGTTTAACAGCCATACTTTGAGGCCTATACTAATTTGGTCAGGGGGGACATAAAGGACAGTTTTTACTGCTCCTTGCCGTCCTAGGTCAACTAAGTTCCAGGGGACTATGAGCATCTCTCAAAATGTCCTGTAACTGTGGTGAGTCACCTGTCCTCTTGAGCAAGGAGGCCATGGAGACCCCACCAGATGGACCTGAACCAGTGTCCAGTCTACAAAGAGGAAGGTCAACACAGAGGAAACATTTCCTCCATGCTTCCAAGTGAAGGCAGCTATGGTCAAGTAGGACCTTTGACTTAACTTCACATAGACAGAACTGGTACTAGAAAGGAGTCCTCCCAAGCCCATGTGACTCTTGAGGAACAGATCCTCAAACAACCTTAAGAGTAAAAATAAATTGTCTTTCATTTTTTTTAATGTTAGGACTGTGCTGAAAACCAAATGTTTAACTGAACCTCACTTAAAAATAAAAATTTTGTCTGAGGAGATGGTTTAGTTACAAATGTGCCTGCTCTGCCTGCTGTGCAAGTTCAGATCCCCAGCAGCAATGGAAAAATCAGGCATGGCAGTGTGCATCTGTAAGTCTAGGGTATCTATGGCCTGGGAGGTCAACACAGGCAGATCCCAGAATCTGGCTGACCAGCTAATCCAGTCAATTGGTGAACTCTGGGTTCAGTGTGAGTCCCTGTTCCAAAAAAGTAAGGTGGAAAACCATGACGAAATACACCTAAGGGAATAGACCATGGCCTGGCCTCCACTGGTGCATACACCCACACCCCCCCCACACCTGCATGTACACACAAAAATTTTTATTTAAAATTATTTTATATGCTGATAGATGCTATTTATTAATTGATTGTTTGAATTTTTCTCCCTAAAATCTTTTGGTTCTGATACCGTTTGGGTGACGTGTTTCTTTCTTTTTTTAAAAAAATTTCTATTATATTTTTAGTTTATGCTGAGTTATTCAGCTGGTCCACATCTTCTTGAATAATTTTGATCATTTATATCTTTCTAGAAAAATTTTTATTTCATTGAGATTTAAAGTTTTATTGGCATAAATATGCATATAATGCTCACTTGTAGTGTTTGAATTCTCTTGTATATCTTGGTTACAAACCCCTACAAATGCCTGATAGTTCCTAAGAAGGCAATATGAGACAGTTTTACCAGTATGATCTCTGAAGTCATCTGGCTAACTCAAGATTCCGGCTCTGCATTTACAATCTTCCCGGCACAGTTGGTACTTCTGTATAATAGGTATTATACCATTCTTTTATCAAAATTGCTTAAGGACCTAGTTCTGCCACTTTTCTGGCTTGGGAATACAGTCACAAGGCTTAATGCTTTGCCTTTGTGGAGCTTAACATTCTAGTGTGTTGAAGAAAAGGGTTGAGAACAAAAGGAAAACATGGAGGATGATAGTATTTGTGATGATGATTCTTTCTTAGTCAGGTGACCTGGGAATGAAATAAGAACATATGCCTGAAGTGCTTACCGCAGTGTCCATGTTAGTGCTCAATTTTAACACATAGTGTTTTGACGAAATCTGTTAGTGGTTAGGACAGTTTGTTGGGCTTATGACTAATGTTTTTTGTATTGCTTTTTCATCAATTTGTACTTTAGCTTTCCGAATTCCTTTTTTATACTTTATTTTGGTCTATTTTTGTTTTCAATCTTATTTTCTAGCCAGTGCATGTTAGGGCCGTGTGTTTTCCTATGAGTACTTCCTTGACTATTTCTTTTGCCATACAATGTTCTAATTGTGAATAATCTTTTACTACATTATAATTTTAATTTCAGTCTTCTTTGGTATAAGAATTATTTAGAAGTGCATTTATTTTCTTTTCTGGTTGATTTGGGATGTGTCTGTATGATCCTGTGTTAGTTTTCTTAGCTTGCGGGTTTTCTTCATTGTGATAGGTGATTATATGCTATAGGCATTCAACTCCTAAGAACTTTCTTTGTAACTGAACATACTATCGGTATCTACAAATGTTGCACTGGACAGTTTTAAAATACATGTACCTGGTTTTTTGAAAATAAAGTTTTCTATGTGTGCTTATTAAACCAAACATGATACCTTTGTGATTCTTATTTTCCATATTGTTAATTTATGTCTGTTTTCTGTTTCTGTTGACTCTCGCAGTTATTATAATCTCCCAAGGTAAAACTTGAGAAGTTCCTTTAGTAGATTTTTAAAAAATTCTACTTTTTAGAAATATAATTCATATAACAAAATGCACACACTTTAAGTGTAAAGTCCAATGAGTTTTGACAGCTGCACACACTCATGTAATCACTATGCCAGTGACGATGCAGGCCATTTTTATTACCCCAGAATGTTCCTCTCTGTCCCTCTCAGTTCCCTTCCCAGGCCCAGTAATTACCAGTGATTTCTATCACCACGCACAGTTGTACTTGTCTAGAGTACACATGAATTGGAGCATACAGTGGATACTCATTTGCATCTGTCTTTGTCTTCTGGTCCCCATAATGACTTTGCTATTTTATGTATGTTGTTGTGTCAGTAGTTTATCTGTTTTTATTGCTGAAGAGTATAATTCCTTCAGTGCTTTTTTTTTTTTTTTGCCTACTTGCATAAAGTTTTTAAATTGTTTTATCTTATTTGGGAAAAGGCTACTTTAGATTCTGTTCATATCTCCTGTTGGCAAAAGACATCTGGTCTGTAGTTACATGGGGAAAATATATCCAAGCACCCTGAGTTTTATGCCTGCTTATTAGTTGTCTACACTGATAACAAGTGAGAGAACAAGAGAGAAGACAGATGGTTTGCGGAGCTTTGCTGACTTCCTAAATGGCTCCTTGGCACAGTTATTCTGGCTTCTGCATCCCTGAGGGCTGGGATGACAGTGCAAGTACAAATGCCCCTGGTAATTAGGAAGCCTCTGAAAAGAGGACCAGGCTTTCCTAGCTCCTGCTGTGCAATGCATCAATATGGCCAGCCTTCCTTGCATCTAATCACAGGCTCTGCCCTTGTGTAGACACAGCTATGGAACAACTTGCACTTTACTGATTCCGTATTTAAAGTTTTTAAGTAGAGTTAAAGACTACAGTCACATATAGTACTTGATTAAAGAGAAGTAAATTTTCAATCATTTGGAGATTATTCAGTTTGTGCACTATTTATAGTTTAGCCTTTCCTCATTCCCGTGGGAAACTTTTAGCTCCTTTTTGTTGTTTTCCATTCCTTCAACAGTAGTAAGAGGATAAGAAAGAAAATAAAATTCCCTTTGCTTTTAGTGGTTATTATAGAGTGTGTGTGTGTGTGTGTGTGTGTGTGTGTGTGTGTGTGTGTCTTGTCAGGGTGTTAGTGGAGAAGACTGGAGCTGTTTTCCCAATCAACACATTCCTTTTCTATGGAAGCCCTGTGTGGCTGTGTGACGTCAGGCAAGTCTGTCAGGGCATCTCAGCCTTATTGACAGAGGGAGTCAAATAGCTGCCTGCCTGTCTCATAGCATCCTTAACCTGATTTATTGAAAAAAATACTTTGTAAGTCTTGACGTTCTTTTGAAATCTACACACATACTTTAATGACTGTTTTCTTTTCCTTTAATGAAAGATAGGTGATCCTTACCTGTAAAGGGAAAGTAGACATGTTCCTCAGGAGCACACTGACTTTTTAAAAAGCCACTAAGAAACAAAACATCTTTCAATCATGTACCACCTTATGGTTAAAGGAATGGTGCTGTTTTGAGTGGGACTCTGTTGTGACCTTCGTAAAGCAAACAGCACATGCACCTGGCGCTTCAGCCTCCCTGCGCCTTGCCCCGGTCTTCTGGGAGCGCTCTTTCTAGCTCAGTTTTCTCACATAGAAAATGTGGAAATTAATTTGTATTCTGTTGTAGGTGTGCTACGATTTCATTATTATTAGTCTGCTAAAGTGCTTTTTAGTCATGTATGTTATTTTTTTTTATGAATTCTGCTTTGTACCTACTGGCCTTACTTTAAATTATAACTAAGTTTATGTGTTTAATTCTATTTTGGGGAAAGGGCTGAGACATTGTCTTCTACCGTAACTACACAATCTTTGAAAAATCACTTCTTAGCAGTTTCACATTTAGTAACACGGTTTATGCTATTGTTCCATTAGGAGCTAATTGATAGGAGTAAGGATTCAGTGACATCAGTTGGAAGGCCTGTGCATTATTCATTTAACATCTGCTGTTGCTTCTTTCTGTCCCTATGGAGGAATAAATTACAACACATCAGCACATTTTTCGTGCTTTGTGTTTAAGCATTTAAAAGCCATTCATTGTATTATTAATATTATTTTATTTCTGCTTATTTGGCAGCACCAGAGGTTATCAATGCCCATGACTACAGCCAGCAATGCGACATTTGGAGCATAGGTGTCATGATGTACCTCTTGTAAGTAACCTCCTGAAAGTATGGTGTAAATAAACAGGCCCTGGCTGTAGAATGACATCGATCTTCAATTGCAGCGAAGCAATATATTTCTAAAGAAGTCATTTAAAAACCAGTAGGAAGTCATTCTGAAAGCTCTCTTACTAGTTGTCAAGATAATCTCTAGGGTATTTTTTTAATACTATAAATTTATAACTTTTAGTTTTGCTTTTCATTGATCTATAAATGCAACAGTGCACCATATGATCTAAGCTAAGTGAAAATCTGTACTTAACCACTGTCCTGATCTCTTGCTGCATCTCAGAGCTTCTGTGTGTGTTCATATGAGATTCGCCTGTAGCCCATCAGGATCAGGGAGATAGAGCACCTGGCCCTAGAGCTGCCAGTATGGACAGGCACAGTGGGGAGAGGGCAGGCAGGTAGGAGTTAGTTCAGGATGTAGGGAGTATCTTGTATTTCCCAGTTCCCTTAACACCACGAAAGCCTCCGTGGTTCTTCCTCTTCCTTTCTTCCCACTCTCACGATTCAGTCAAAGCCAGGTCCTGGGGCAGTTGCCTTTGAAGCATCCTCATCTCTTTTTGGATCACTTCACCTGCATCAGTTCTCCTTATGATATATTGCAGGGTCTTCTGTTCACCCTCCCCTCTCCCCCCTCCAGGTCAGCTGTCATTTACACTGCTATCCAGATTGTCTGTCTGTATTGCAAGTCTCATCTGTTAGTTTCTGACTAATGCCCTCTGATAATTATCCATTGCTATAGAAACTTATCAGCATTCTTGCATGGCATGACTTAGCACTTCTTTCATGACCTGACTCTAGTGTGCCTTTCAGTCTTGGGCTGGGTGTGCTCCTTTGAAGCTACCTTTTTCTGTGACTCTAGGCCACTCTTCATTACCCAAACCCTCCACTGCATAGTGTGTGTGTGTGTGTGTATGTGTGTGTGTGTGTGTGTGTGTGTGTGTGTGAAGCATACATGTGCATGCCTTGAGTGCTTACTCTTTCCTGTGGGTTGACTTAGCTCAAATACTAAATCCTTCTACTTACTTATCTCCTATTCTACGCCAGCTGAGATACATTTTGTATATACATCGGTGCATTCCACAGAGGCTAGATACAGGCATCATGCAAAAAGACAAACAAAATAGTAATGTTCAAATAAAAAACAAAACGAAACAGAAATTGGAGGTAGTGAGGCTGGTCGAGTGCTTGCCTGGCATGTAGGAAGCCCTGGGTTTGCTCCCCAGCACTGCACAGAACAGTTGTGGTGCTGCCATTGCCTACAGTCCCCCACTAGGGATGTGCAGGAAGGAGGGTCAGAAGTTCAAGGTCATCCTTGACTATATGGTCTGTTCCAGGCTAGCCTGGGCTATATGAGACCCTGTCTCAAAAGAAAAGTAAATAAAATAACCAGGAGGATTTTCACATGTGTAACTTTGCGCTCACTTTGATGTATAAACAATAACACTTTAAAACCAGATTACATGGTGGTATTTAATCATCTATATGTTGTAGCTGTTGTCCTGTCTGTAAATTCTGTGAAAGACACACCTCAAATTATTCATCTTCGCATCCCTGGCATCCGATGCACTAGTCACACACGTTCGGTGTCAAATTGAATTAAGTGAATTGTCTAGGAGGTGCTCTGAATAGTCAGTGACCATTGCTCTGCCTCTTGGTGAATATGAAGATTTTCACATCTCTGCAACATTAACTTTATGGCCATATTGGAGATTTCGCCATGCACTACTCTTCCAGATCATTTCTAAATATTGACATCATGGTAGTTACATTTTCACAGTTGTGTGAAATGGAAGACATGGGGAGTAGAGACTGGATGATGTGACTTCAGCTGTAGCTCGGCCAGCCTACACGCACCATTGCTTAGACTGCATGAAGTATAAATGGATTTATAGTTTTGATCATTATTTCGTGCTGATTAGAATCCTGAGCTTCAGTCTTTAATTAAAACTATTTGAACAAGTCTTTTATACTCCTAAGACTTTCTACACAGCAAAAGTCAAAATTAATATGTAAAATTGATTATTGCACAATTCATGTGGTGTCTGCTGCTTTTTTAGTTTGAATCTGCTGCTAAGGAAAGTGAATGTATTACATAGCTTCAAAATTTCCCTTTCTTAAATATGTAATTTGAGTGTCTCTGCTCTGGAGTGTGCCTGCATGTCCTCCTACTGGCGTCTTCCTGCCTTCACAGTAGATCTACTTAGATCATCAGTGCCTATTCACAAACCTGTCTGAGCCCAGTGCTCTAGGTGCTTTCCTTCACTGAGAGCACAGCACATTGCTGCCTCCTTGCCTATCAGTTAACTTGGATTCATTTCTACTTAATTGGACAATGATAACATTCTTTCTCAAGGTGAAATTAACATAAATAAACACTCTTCATGGTTCCTTTGCTGTTTGGATCCCTGTGAATGCAGAAGATAATAGGAGTGCTTGAGAGACATTTTTCATGTCTTAGATTCTCTTTCTGGATGTGCTAGAAAATTGCAGTCATAAAATTCCATATGCTGCTGATTGACCAACCATTAGATACATTTTACGTAAATAAAATTGCAAAGGGTAGAAAAAGTGGAATGTTAAAAATGTAGCCCTTAAGCTATAGTTGCAGAGACAGCAGAGAAAGTGGGGACCGTGGTATCACTGCTTGGTAACAAAGTCAATGAAGCTTGTGCTTGTTATAACGGATAGTAATTGTCCATAAGGCCATTTTTCTGGCCGTTTTCTTTTTGTTTTCTATGGATTTTAAAATTTTAATTTAAAACAAAACAATAGCAAGGGAAGTCAGAAAAGAGGGAGGTCAAAATGAGCTATTGGAGAAAAAGTCTGAAAATAAGAATTTGCGCATCAATTTGACCAATGTGGACCTGTTAAAAAGAACCTCTTGGTAAAGGAAGAGCTCTTATGCTCTAGCCTAACTTTCTCAACTGCTAGGATGAGAGTTACTTTATTCTCTGAGGAAATCATCATCATCATCATCGTCATCATCATCAAAAATACCAAATTTTAGCTTGATCAAGAAATGTTAATAAGTTAGATTTTTAGAGAACTCAGAAAATATTACTCAAGAAAACCAGTAAAATGTAAATGTTAAAAGCCTTAGGGACCTATATTATACTAAGAATAGGCTGCAATTTGGGAAGTATAATAGAATTATGCTATTTTGTACTTTTTTATAATTTATTTTTATTTTATGTGTATGAGTGCTTTGCTTCCATGTATGTAAGTGCAGCCCTGTCAATGCCCTGAGTGTGTCAGATCCCCTGGAACTGGTGTTATGGATGGTGGTTAGCCATCATGTGGGTGCTAGGATTTGAACCCGGGTCATCTACAAGAGCAGCCAATGCTCTTAATTGCTGAGCCATCTCTCCAACCTCTATTTTATTCTTTTAATAAAACTGGAAAAATATCCCTAGAGTTGAGGCATAGACATACCAAGTTGCTCCCTTGCTGTGTCCCGCTCCACCTTCTATCTGGGTATACTTGGGCACATCTAGTTGTCTACAGGATTATCTTTAGATGTTGGGGTTGATTCTAATGATGGTGTCTAACATTTACCGAGAATGTACCCCAAGGAAATGAACTCTGCTTTGAAGCATATCATTGTAGTTCTGATCTAGATCAGCCCATAGAATCAGCTTCCTAGGCTTGCCATGCTCTGTTGAGAGATGCTAATGATAGTCCCCATGTTACAGAATGCACAAACAGGCCCATGTTCACTTCCGCGGGGCTCATGGTTGTACTGATTTTGGTTATTGTGTTTATCCAATATTCACCCTTTCTCACTGATTTTCTTCATCCTGACCTTCACTTTGAATACTGTTGTTGAAGGCTTGTGGCTGCTTTAACCTCTTTTGTCTTTGGTGCAGAACCTCCCCAGGGTTATTCTTCAGTTTTATTTTATTGTTACTGTTACCGACATTTGATACAGTGCTTTACCATGGATAAAACTCTTGCCTGGCCAATATATATATATATATATTCATAGCTCTTGTGTAGACACTGATAATCCCTTATGTGTTTCCATAAGTCCAGATTGCTTTGTGTACCTTCAGCCTTGGTCTTCCCTTGCTCATGCTGACATGTCTCTCCCCCATGAGCTGCCACTGTTTTTGTGTGTTTTCCCTTCCACACCTTCCTGAATTGTAACTCTTGAAGCTTAGGGCTTCCCCACCTGCAGAAGCTTTGGGGCATTTGCAGATCTGTAGGTTTCTGTACATAAGATGAGACGCTCTGAGCTTGGGAAGCCCCATTGCTTCCGTTCTTCATCCAGAGGCTCGCTTCTTTCTTCCTGTTGCCATCTGGGAAATGCCACTGCTTCCAAGTCCTACAGAGACTTAATTTTTAGTAGTCTTATTTTGAAGAAATTTATACTAAATGACTGCCTTTGTTTAGATTATGTGGAGAGCCACCCTTCATGGCAAACTCAGAAGAAAAGCTCTTTGAACAAATAAGAAAGGGAGAACTACGATTTGAAGATGCTATCTGGGGTTCTGTAAGTGACTCTGGTGAGTATAGATTTGTTATCATTTACTAAAGTAAACACTATCAGAAAGTTGGCCAGTGATAAAACTGTTTTAAATCTCTGTCTAGTCATAAAGTATGCTTTAGAATTAAACAATATTTGCTTGTGGAGATAGAGATATCCTCACAGTGATTGTTCATGATCAAAAACTTCCAGAAAATATAGAATAAAAATTAAAGAAAATATTTGGTGTTATCTAGCTAATTTTCACTATGGACCACTAAACCAGGTCATCCTTAGCACTCAGCCTTATTCATTAGGCATCTGTGTGGAGGGTGCTTGGGTACTTGATTACATTTAGGATATGTAATCATATCCTAAATAAAAGGGATGATGGATGGCTTCTGTTGTTGTTGAGATGGGGCTGTGCTATGTTTTCCAGACTGACCACAAATTGTGGACTCCAGCAACCCTCAGCCTCTCAAGTATGTGGGTATACAGGCATTTGCCACCATGCCCAGTAGTCTAGTTAGCTTTCTGTTGCTGTGATAAAATACTCTGACCAAAACCAACTTGGGGAGGAGAGGATTTATTTGGCTTACATATTCTGATCACAGTTCATCATTGAGGGAAGTCAGGGCAAGAACTGAAGGTCAGATCACAGAGGCAGGAGCTGAAGCAGAGACCATGGAGGAACACTGGTTTACTTCTCTGGTCTGTGCTCAGCCTGCTTTTTTATATAACCCAGGACCACCTGACCAGGTGTGGCACCACCTACTTTGGGCTGGACCTTCCTACATTACTCAACAGTCAAGAAAATGCTCCCAGACATGCCCCCAGGCCAATCCAATAGAGGAAATTCCCCATTTGAGGTTCCCTCTTCCCAGGTGTGTCAAGTTGACAACTGAAGCTGTCCAGCACACCCAGCTAATATCTGACATTAACTGAGGTTAAGAGAAATATGATTTTCAGGGTTTTCCCCCCTTCATTTGCAGCAAAAAATGTTTTGAGACAGCTTATAAAAGTAGATCCTGCTCACAGAATCACAGCTAAGGAACTTCTAGATAACCATTGGTTGACAGTAAGTGGCATTAATTTCTTTTGTTACTTTTTTCTGACATTGCTCATTTCATTTGGTCTTGGAGTCTTCTTAAAACAGTTCCATCTTCTGAAAAGTTAAAAAAGAGTGCTGAGTCTTGACACATTTCTGAAATGGACATTTCTAAATGGTTACAACTGTCACCACAGTTGTTCGTAGGTATTTATAGAGCTTTAAATGAACTTTGTTTGTTCTTTGTCAGTGAGGTTTCATGTCCACTAGAACAGAGCTCAGAAATGTCTCCTATTAAATGGGTGCAGATGGAAGCCATTTGGACACTTAGTGATGTAAAACTGACTCATTTATAACTCTCTCAGCTCTTTGGACACAGAGAGTCTTTGGAGGACCTCAGAAAACATAAGCCTCCAAGTGGTCTCTACTTCCTGGGTTGAATTCT